ACCCTAAACCCTAAGCCCCTACATTCTAGACTAGATCCATAAGCTATGCTTCTGACAAGGCTCCGGCTTCCCATCCGCATTCATGTCTGCCACCGCGGGCCAGACTGGGCCTTCGAAGTTGATCTCTGCAAAGCTGCTCTCGTCCTCAAGCGGTGACACATATAGGGGTTATATCAGGTAATATAGGGGTTCTATAGGTTTATATGGGGTTATATCGGGGTTGTATAGGGNNTAGGGTTATATAGGGTTATAGGGGTTATATCAGGTTATATAGGGGTTATATAAAGAGGCACAGCTGCGTTGCTTATCTTAAGGGCCTCTTCACTTCAAAGCTTAAAGACCCTGCATGCTACCCTAAACCTTAAACCCTAAACCCTAAACCCTAATACCACGAAAACCCTTCCGGCACCAAGGCCTCGGGCAGGAGCTGCAGCTTCCCCTCTTTATCCTGGTGCCAGTACCTAGGTTTTTTTGGGGGGGGTTTAGGGTTTAGGGTTTAGGGTAAACCCTACATAATAAGGGTACCCTTTTTGCTATTGTTCTGTTTTAATAAGTATACCCCCAAGCAAAAAGGGTAAGAGGGTACTACTGGGGCACCTAGGTACAGCAGCTTGCCGCTCGCAAGCCCCGCAAGAATGTCGAGGCGGCCATCTGAATCCCAGTCTGCCACAGCACCTCCTACCACAGTGCCCATGTCATCTGGCCAGCTGAGAACCTGAACGGGTGGCAGGAAGTTGGAGCCCCGGCGCTCCAGAAGAAGCAAGCCCCTCTCCTGAAATAAGATGAGGTCGTCGGCTCCATCCATTGTCCAGTCCGCAGTTACGATTGACAATGATTCAGATGTCCACTTGGAGAGCAGGTCCGCCGTTTCTTCCTTGAGGGATCCATCAGCTTGGCGCAGGAAGAGCCGCACTGCTCCAGGCGAGGCAACGACAAGGTCCAGGAGGCCATCCAAGTTCCAGTCCACGACGCCAGCAGATTTAGGCCCCTCTGGAAGCCCCAGGCTAATCAGAGGATTCTCGTGGCCCAGCTGAGGCGTCCCAAGGCTGGCACTGCTCGCTTTGCGAAGTCCCAAGTCTAACCTCCCATCCTTGAAGCCCATCGCAAGATCTGGAATGCCATCCATGTCCAAATCACCATATGTGAGGCACGGAGGCCCATCCTGGAGCAAAGACCAGCTGCTAGGAAACGGGTGATCCGATGCCGTGACATACTTGAGGGTCCCGTCCGACAGCTGCTCCAGGATTGCGGCCCCAACGACGAGGTCCCAGTCTCCATCGGAGTCAACATCCATGGCCTCTTGGACACTGACCATAGATTCAAAAGGCTCAATTCTGACTATGCGAGCGAGAGTCTGGACTCCTAGTAGCCCCCTTCATGACCCGTATAACACTCCCCTGTAAGACTATAGCTCATGCGGTCTACTAGCAAGCCATGGCCAACGAAAGCTAGTTTCATCTCATTGTAAGGACACGAGAAGGTGTGGATGATTGATGCAGCAACGACTATAGCCAGAAACTATGAAGACAATGGACTGGAGGATGAAGATGATCATGATTGAATGATGATGACAATGATGATGATTCAATGCTGATGATGATGGTGATGATGATGATGGTGATGGTGGTGATGGTGGTGACGACGACGACGACGATGATTATGATGGGAAGGAGGAGGAGTGTTGTGCAACATGGTGCAGGCACAGGACGATGATGCCCATGATGCACAAAAAACTCAAGAAGACACGACAGCTGGCCTGTACAACGATGAGGCATGGTGACATCCAGAATCTTTACACAAAAACAGGACTTCTAATTCCCAGGTTTCCATTTCGTGTTCCATGGTCTTTTCAATTTGGTCCTCCAATATTCAGAATTCCCCTAACTATACAAACCCCATAAATAATCCCTATATAGCCCCTATAGAACCCCTGCAAGCGGCCTGCAAGCAGAGGGAACCCGCGGCTGAGAGCCCTTGTCGGCGAAGCACGTCGCCCACTTGCGAGAAGGGACTCGAAGACTCGGGGACCTGGGGTTTGGGGTTTAGGGCCTGGTGCAACTTGGAATATGTTGTACAGTAGTGTGGGCGTTCGAAAGGGAATATGCTTGGATCTGGATATAGGGGTAATAGTGGAGAATCAGATGGAAAAGCAAATGGAAAATGCGCTAGAAATTACTGAAGTCCTCCAAGCTGTACTGTAGTTCCTCGATGCTACTTGTAGCTTGTACTCTGAAGGTGGCTGCCCGTTTGGGGTCTACCTCAAACGAAGGACGAGGTATTGAGGCTGATAATTGCAGCACAGAAGATTACGAGCCTGTGTGAACTTTCCGTGCTCATTCCTGAAGTACTGGATGTGCCCTTCGGCCAGCGCGAGGAGATCCAGGTCACCTCGTAGTGCAGCTGTGTTGCAAAGCTGGAATCAATGCATGGCTACCACCCCAAGGAACAAGGAACTCTGGCTGTTAACTCTGGCTCAGCAATGCCCCCTAAACCCTAAATCCTAGACCCTAGACCCTAAGCCCTAAAGCCCTAGACCCCAAACCCTCAAGCAATGAAGCCCAGCCGCCATCGTGGTCCCAGTCCGCCATGGCCGGGTGAACTGGCTTCTTCAGATCCACAGACGCGAAGGGACTCTGCTCCTCACAGGTCCCTTCCGCCCAGCGTTTGTCATGTGAGCTACAGTCTACCCGAGTTTACCCCTTAATACCCCTATAATCTTCCCCTACATAATCCCCTATATAACCCCTTTCAAGCAGTTTAGGAAAATTATAGCTACGTTGAAGGATCGGGCTCAGTCGGGATCAGTCACAAAACCCCAGTCCTCCAGTACTGCAGCTTTTGCGCTTCCGCGGCCGCGAAGTAGAAACACTCGGCCCTCGCCATTGCCAAGCACCAGATCCTTGCAAGTGGGAAGCTCTGCCAGGGCAACATCGCAAATAATAATGAATAACAGCAATACTAAGCAGGATACTTCTGCTAATGAAAATGAAACATGATGATAACAAAAAACAATAAAGATAGTGATGATGATGATAATAATGATAATAACAAAAACTGGGTTGCTGTTAAGGAACTTAAATTAAGTTACCATAATGGGTACATATAGTAAATAATAGGGTTTCCCCAATATAGTAACTTAAAATTAAGTTCCTTAACAGCAACCCCGATGATGGTACTTGGGTAGCACTTGTCATACACCTCAACTTGCAAGGAAGCGGCCGGGAAGCCATCGGAGTCCCAGTCGACAGCTGCAGGCGCACAGTGCGACCCGACCTCAGCAAAGAATCCGTAACATCCGTAGCTTGTGTTTAGGGTTTAGGGTGTAGGGTTTAGGGTTTAGGGTTGGTCCGTAACTATATTATAATGGGGTGGTTATTGGGAATAATGGAAAAGAAGATGGAAACTACCATTATATTGGAATTATATGGGGGGTATATGGGAACAATGGAAAAGAAAATGGAAACTACTATAGTATCATAGGGTATATGTGTATATATGAGCATCTTGCACAGTGCAAACCGTTTGCATGGACTGCATATCTGCACTCTAGATAGATGGCCTGAAAAGCTTAGGCTGCAGCATCCACGTCAGCAAAAGGCCCGTCAGGCGTATTTGCAGACTCGAACTTGCCATCTCTTTGAGGGAAATACCACAGCTTCCCATCAGCGCTTCCCACTATCAGGTCTAGGTCACCATCCTGGTCCCAGTCGACCAAGACCGGCACAGCATCCTCACCCACGTCAAGGCTGTGCAGCGCGGGCGCGTGAGGTGCCTCCAGTGCATTTGGCAGCGCGCCTCTCCGAAACCAGGCGAGGTCCTGAAGGTCGCTTTGTACGATGAGGTCAGGAACTCCATCCGAATCCCAGTCGCACGCGGCCGGTGAAGCCATTTTCCCAGCTCCGTAACCTTGAAAGGCTTCGCACGTCAGGTTTCCAAGGAACCGACATTGATACAGCTTGCCCGCGTGGTCTCCCACGATCACCTCCTGCACCCCATCACCGTCCCAATCCCAAACCGTGGGCACTATGGAACAACCGGCTGCGCCGGGCAGGAAGCCATGGTAAGAAGCCGTAAGCGTGAGGGAGTGGTTCCCGTGTCCAAGATACCTGTTCAGATCTTTTGAGAGAATCTGATACTTGCTGCAGATGATTGGAATCCACCAGCACCTTACATCACCTTACACTTTAAGCAATCAGTGCATCTCAGCTGCAGGTCCAGCTGACACCCATGCCCAAGTACCAGGTCCGGCAGGCCATCGCTGTTGATGTCAGCAATGGCTGGTGCCGTGTTGAAAGAGGTCTTCAGCGTGCTGAAAGGATACCAGTTCCAGGTCATCGCCACTGCGCCGTTACCAGATCCTTTCCTCAGAGTCCACAACATGACTTCTTCTCTATGGACAGGGGTCAGGGGGTGCTAGCCTTCGCATGGACGGGGAGTGCTGCAGCTCATTAGTCTAAAGCAGGCAAAGGCTCAAGAACTTCAGGTCCCCCTCTGCATTGCCCACGAGTACATCCAGCTCTCCGTCTCCGTCCCAATCAAAGACCGAAGGCTTCGCAGACCTACCAACCTGGATGGAACCTCAGCAGATTCTGAAGGAACCTGACAACGCAGTTGAGGTTATAGGGGTTATATAAGGGTTATAAGGGCTATAAGGGTTATATAGGATTTTATAAGGCTATATGTAGGGGTAGGTCCTCTGTGCAGGACAGGAACGGAATGGGTTGTCTGAAGACGCCTGGCTTAGCTTCCCCTCGGAGCCCTGAAGGAAGAGGTCCAGTTGCCCAGTGGCATCTGAAGTCACCTCGCAGAAGCAGGGTCGATATAGGGGTTATATAAGGGTTATATAGGGAGAATGGAAAAGAAAAGTGGAAACTACTATTATGGGTTATATAGGGTTTGGGTAGGGGTTATATAGGGGGTATACAGGGATAATGGAAAAGAACATGGAAACTAGTATAGGGTCTAGGGTTTAGGGCTTGCAACTTTTCAATGCTAAGCGCTGCATGTATTTCGAGCAGCTCAGTTTGATGTGGGGGCATCGCCATGTGCGTTTGATGGATTTACATCAACCTGACATCAATCATGCCGTAGCAGTACTCTGAAGGATGGCTGCCGCGCGCTTCCAAGGTAGAAAGGTCGATCCCAATTGCTGCACAAAATTAGCAACAGCTGCCTGGCAAACGCGAATACCTGGACCCCAAAATAATAGGTAGAATAATAGCCCAAAACCCCTCAAAATAGTTCCAAAGGCCATTATTCCAAATACTTTTGGGGTTCAGGTAGCTGTCGAGGCTGAGTTGCCACATCTAGATCTCCGTCACCATCCCAGTCCACAATCGCCACACCTTCTGGTATCGAGTTAGGGTACAAACCACGACCATGCAAGCATTTCTGGCTGGTCTGTGACTCCAAGTACACAACCCCTTGGTGGCAACATGCCAAGCCACCTGAATGCTTCAGCTGGAAGTGCGTGTCATCGGAACCTTCGCTTGGGTCAGACTGCAAACTCCTCATGAACATTCTTGAACCAAGGACCTCCCTCAGCATTCAAGCCTGACACTGGTGCACCTGGTGCGGACGGAGGTCGGTCGGATGGCCGAAGAATCCTGGGGCCCTCTTGCAAGAAGAGCTGGTACGTCTTGCCAGTGCACCTGCCAAGTATGTCAATGCCTCTGCCTTGAGACATGCGAAGAGTGGTTCGGATGAATCTTAGCAACTCTCCACCCCTGCACCTTCCCGGCTGCCGCTGGCAATGTTCATGTACCACCTCTGGCTGAGGCCCTGTGATGCCCTGGTAAGCAGGTCGCGGGGAGTGGCATGTCTGGTTGCCACTGACACCGCCAGGCATAGAGCGAATCACTGCGTTGGCATTGGCGAGGTGACAGCTGGAGTCCGCAAGCCAAGAAAACCCGACGCACCCTGCAGTTGCCTGGCAGCGCTGCGCACATTCGATGGACGAGGCTGCCAGCCCCTCTGGGCTGCGTTGGCCGAGTGGCACATACCGAGAATCTGCAAGACAGGAAGGCGCTTCGTGGCAGCAAACTGACAATGTCAGCCTGCCTTCCGAAGATGCATCGTCCGAGGGCAGATACCCGAAGACCGATGGGCATTTGAAGCTGCTGCAGAGACGCTGGCAGCACTGTTCCTCTGTTGGATCCACTTCTCCAGCATCATCCCTACGTCTGAAGCCTGCAGGGCATTGGAAGTCTCCACAAGGCCCGGCTGTGCCTGCTGCACACGTCCCGAGTGCCAGCAGTAGCAGCCGCACAAACCGAGCAGTCATGGCTGCTTGCACTTCTCTGTATTACTCTGTAGCTGACGATTAGGGGGTATATCTGCTGATCTGCTCAACATGTCTGGGCATGATGCCTTGACCTTTCGTTTTCATGTTCTGGTGACGTGTTTGAACAACTTCCACATGGCTCCTCATTGGTTCAAGCCAAGCTCGGCAAAGGGATATTGAAGGGAAGGCTCACAGCTACCAGCTTGTTGCAGACTCTGCAATCCGACAGCGTCGCTGCTACCTAACGAGTTAGCAGACTCTGCATCTGGTGTGAGAGCAAACTCCCTCATCATGACGTGCAATGAAATGATCGCAGCAAGAAATAAGAAGGCAGGCTTAAAAGTGGAAGAACATGGTCAAGACAATGATACTCATAACCACCACCACCACCACCACCACCACCACCACCACCACCACCACCACCACCATCACCATCACCATCACCATCACCATCACCATCACCATCACCATCATCGTCATCACCACCGTCGTCCCGACAGCAGCTATGAGAGTTCTGACGAGAACAACTATCAAGGAATCAGACATTAAGGAACCATGATCAAAAACCAAGTTGTCGGTTATAAGCCATAGTTATCGTAAGACTGTAACAAGAAGACCCTAATTTGAGGGCTTACCAGAATTCCATTATCAACTGAGGAAAGTGACGGTACTACCCGACGCCTCGCCAGGCTCTCACCCGGAGACCTTTCCTTGGCGCACATTGGAGGCAAGGCAGCCCCCCTCCAGACGCTGCCGAGTTCAGAACAAGCATACTGTACTCTATCCTGCTGTTTTCCCATCTTCTCCGCCACCCTACTAGATTCGGCTTCTGAGCTATTGCGTGGCTAACAAAAAATGCATAACGCGAGCACCCCGGGTGTGGACCTTACGAGTTCCGACGGAAGTACAGTAAAGTCACGCAGAACATGCGGCCTATCTTGGGTACTGTCCCCAGCCAAGTCTGCTTACAACTTTACTGCTCACAGACCTCAAGCAAGCCAGGTTCTCATGTATGATGGGACCCCAGTATTCTGATATTGCAGTCGCTCATTGCCAAAACACGTTTAGCTTTGTTTTTGCCTGGTTCAATAAAATACAAGAGGACGACGAGCCACAATGACTTATGAAAGCCTTTCAAGAACTCTCCATGCGAAGGCCTCAGGACAAGGGACCCCAAATGCCTTCGCGGTTAAATTCCTGCATGGGCATTTCTCAAAACATTCCTCACGTAATGCATTAAAATGCCGAAGACCTTCCATCATCCCCCTTTAGTCAACTAACATACATATCTACACACATATATCTATGTATGTACATGCATCCCGTGTGCTTGTGAGGTGCCCCTTGTTTGAGAAACTCCCAGAAGACCCCAACACTTGAGGTCAGTGCGGGAATCGCCTTCGCATCCTTCCAGGACAACATCTCTAAACACATACTTTATTAGGGTTTAGGGCTTAGGGTTTAGGGTTATAGGGTTTGGTGTTTTAGGGGCGTTTGAGGATTTGGGTTTAGGGGTTAGGGTATTTGCGTTTTTTCAACAAAGGGGTGCTCCCAAAGAGGGATCACTCAAGAGCTTCTTCGAATGTTTCATGCTTATGAAGCTTTCAGCGGGCTTCTTGGGATTATAAAAGAGCTTGGAGGGACCTGCCAAGCTTGGAAATTGAAATCTTGGGTATGGTTTCTAAGATAGATCGGTAACCACGACTTGAAACGTGCTCGGGTATTCTGCCATGCATTGCAGTCATGTGGGTCCATATGGTAGTTTCCACAACTCCGGTGATCCCATCAACCCCAATATACCTATCATCCTTATTATAGGACCCAAAAGGCATCCCTATAAACCACTACCTTAACCCAGCATTTTTTGTAAACTCTCTAGCCCTATAAACCACTACATGATCCCAGTTTAGACTTAATGTTCCGTTCATTTTTTCCATTTGATTCTCCCTTCTCGGGGGTAATATCCCTAAACCCTAAACCCTACATAGTAGTTTCCATGTACCCCTATATACCCAATATAAGTATGATCCCTACGTATGTGGAGATCTCTTCATTAGTTGGTTTGGTTGATCCTGCTCTGGAAATGCAACCTCATCGTGACTCCAAAAGGACCCAAGTCTAAGGTTTAAGATTTAGGGTTCAGGGTTTTCAGGGTAAAGGGTCCAAGGCGTCCCCCGTTTTTCACGGAAATTCGGCTTCTGATTATGGAGCACTGAACTAGGATCTGATAAAGACATGATCGCCATCGCCACTACAAGGGCCTCCGACAGTCCGCAAACTGCCTTTTAGGTTTAGCTTGACTTTGGCTTTGGCATTACTGCGGGAATCGGTCGTCTCCATAAACAGGATGACCCCAAAATGGATGCCAATGTACCATAATCCTTGTGGGGCCCCTGTTGACTCCAAAACCTCCAGGAACAGATACGGAAGCCTCTCAGGATGGGGGTGTCTTGTTGGGGAGTCTTATCATTGTGGATTTGCAATGAAGCATTTTCTACCGCGCCCATGACCGTAGCCATATCATTCTTGTTCTTCCAATTTCTGCAACATGATGGATGGACGCTGTCTCATTACCAGAAATGCCACAAGCAGGGTTCTGAGGGCACTCAAGGGCCTAAATCACGAACGCCCAGAGAATAGCACGTGTTCATGCGCAGTAAGCAGGTTCCAATATTCAAGGGCAGAGCAGCCCTCATTCTACTCCAACCGTATAGAGCTAGTAGGATACATTCCCATTTCTTCCCAGGCGGTCCTGTCCAAGGAGATATCCATGAGGACGAGTTGGGCACCTGCCGGAATGGCAATGGCAGCAGCTGCTACTGCTAGTTATCATCATAATAACATAGCAACACAAGAACCCTCAACCCTGAACCCTAGTGGGTGGCGTTTGCGCAGGGTTCAGGGCTTAATAAACTCTCATACGTACCATACGAGAGTTCTCAAACTAGGGATACCCTTAGCAAATATTGGGGTACAAGGGGATCCTTGGCGTCCCAGTCCCCAGTGGCAATCCTATGGGCCATTTGAGAAATTTAGAATTGGATGGCTTGTAGATAATCAGTCCCGGGCATGTTTCGGATCTGGGCTTAACGAAAGCCAGCGGCTAGCTTCCAGCCAGGTCGCGAGCAGATACGTTTGTCGTAACCCCCATGCATGCTGCAATTTGCCCTGGCGGGCGGGGCGTTGCAGCACATGTCATTTTCGCTATCCCCAGCGATGATTGGGATGACTGTTGCCATGATTCGCATTCCTGTACGGAATACGACTACTGCAGTTTGCCTGCCCACAATAAATAATGGCAACAACAATCGTACTATTACAGTAATAGGAACCATAATGGTACCAATACTAGTAGAGTCATCATAGTAGTAATGGTAATAAAAGGAATAATAGCAATAGTAATCAGAATAGCAGTAATAATCAGTCACAATAGAAAGCTGGCACCGGGGCCTTTCTCATCTTTCATGTCCAGAACCGTGACCTGCAGACCAACAAAAGCCAAGGGGGCTCAGAGCAGGGCAAAATCACAACAAGGGCCTGGTTTTCAGGGTTCAGGGTTTAGGATTTAGGGTTTAGGGTTCAGGGTTTCGGGCTTAGGATGCCGCGTGAACTTTGTCTAGCTTCATGTCGCCAACGCGGGGAAACCTATCAAGGGACCTGTGCAAGCAGAAATGTCATCCCCTTTGGCGACTTCAAAAACATGCCAAAAAACAGAGAAATCCTAAACCCCCTACAGCCTGCACCCCAAACCCTAAACTCTAAAGCTTAATCCCATGACGGTGAGCAGCTAAGCTCTGGTACCTGAACTGGCCTTGCATGCGATCTCTGCACCTTAATCACCTCCCCCTATTATTAAGCCGCCCACCCCCGTCAGATATTGAATACTCTCAGTATATTTTCATGTACCACAATGAGAGTCTTCAAGATTAGGGCGGGTAGGGTGGTTTAATATTAGGGGGAGGGGATTGCCCTTTCAAGGAGCTGGGATTAGTTTTCTGTAGAGGGGTTGTTGAACGAGGACTCTGACATGGCCCAAAACGCACCATCAGCAAGGGCCCTCACTGGCGCAGAATCCCATGGGTTTAGGCTTTAAGGGTTTAGTGTGTAGGGTTTGGAGACTCCCAGAGTTTTTTCGTCGTCCACCTCCGCAGCCCTCCAATCCTCAAGTTGGGAAACGTACGTTCATGATGTTCTTCCTTGGGTACTGCCCCCCCCCTCAGTAACAGTTGGATGATAGTTATAATTTAGTTATATATATATAGCCCTTAATAGGACCCCGAACAGAGACTGTTACGGGTGGGGGCAGTACCCAAGTTCTTCTGCCAAAATCCTCAGGAGTGGTCTTTGTTATGACTATTCACAACTACCGCCCATGCCGTCTCTTACTAACAAGACGAATCCATGGCAACCCATGGACTCTCCAGAGCATGCCTAAAACTTACAAACGAAAAAGGGTTGGAACTTGGGACTCTAAATCTGCAATCCCATTACTTTTGCAGCCGATCATACCATTCTAAGATGCAAAGGCCTCTACGCTGCCCGCACAAGCCGGCAAGTCCCATGAAACCTCTGCAACATCCTGAAAAAGTTACGGGACCTATGCAAACCCTACCTGTAAAGCGAAATTCAAGAAGAACTGATAAGAATCGCTACCCTTCAGAGTCCCCTCAGACTCTTAGACGGCTGTCATATGAGCTTCGGAACCTCAAGATGGGCGGATTTGGGATGTTTTTCTTTACGCCGCCATTTTGGGGGGACGTTGTTGCAGTTTGCTCGGCTTACGTGGGAGTTTCCAGGTCTGATGCCTTCGAGACCCCAATATGCTGTGGTCCTCATTACAAGCTTGTCCAAAACAAAGACCCATAGTTTCCACAAAGCCACGCATGGGCCTGGAACTTGGGAGTGTGATGAAGCGCGAGGGCCGGTGTCTGGGTGATGGTGCCAGGATGCCATGTCCTCCAAAGCTCAGTCAGCTGGTTCGCATGCCTTTCGTTGGCTAGGAATGAAGAAATGGATCCTTACAGTAGTCCCATGTCGTCCCTATATAACCCACTACAGTAGTTTCCATTGTCTTTTCCATCCTTTCATTCCCAGCTAACCTAAGGTAAGTTCAATAAGGGTTTGGGGCGTAGGGGTAGGAATGCATTGCTTATCTGCAGGGAGTTCGGCGGGATTCCATAAGACTGTGAGGTATTGGTGTACAAAGTTGTCAGAAACAAGTGCGGGAGTAGTAAATGCCATCTGTCCGGGCACTTTACGGTGTTAACCGCTGAAAGCGGATTACTGAACGTAGGATGAACTACAATGAAATCGCGCAGAGAGTTCTTATGCTAACTTTATAGAAAATGGAAGCTACTATTCAGGGGATAACCGGGCTAAGGCCACATCTCTAGGACCTGACCCACCGTCCCTAAACCCTAGACCCTAAACCCTGAAACCCTAAATCCTGAACCCCTAAATCCTAAACCCCTAAACCCCTAAAACCTGAATCCTAAACCCCAAATCCCTAAACCAGGAACCCTAAACCCTGAAACCCTAAACCCTAACCCCCTAAACCCTAAACCCAAAGCATACACAAAGCACGAGGACATCACTACCAGACATCCAGAAGCGTCCTGTCATCATCCTTAGAAGGCAAGGCCCTAAACCCTAATATAGGGTTTAGGGGTTATAGGGTATAAAAAGGGGTATATGGGTGTATATAGTCCCCCTTAAGTAGATAGAACAGGGGGAATATGTTGAAGGCAACCCTAAACGCTACTGAACTTACCTTTGGTCGGCTGGGAATGAAGGAACGGAAAAGACAATAGAAACTACTACGATGGGTGATGTAGGGACTATTTTAAGGATCCATCTTTTCATTCCTAACTAACCAAAGGTAAGTAAACCCCCAATCAAGCTTTCGGCAGTTCCGTACTTTGACTCTGGTTGCTAACATGACCTTCTATCATCTCCTGATGGGATCAGGTAGTTTCTCTAAACCGATACACCAATCTAGACCCCAAAAGTATAGGGACCCCCGAAAAAAGGGACCCTAATTTTGGGAGAACCGAAACCCTAAACCCTATATGACTCCCTTCAAAAGGTACCCTAATGTTGGGGAACCCTAAACCCTAAACCCCATAACAGCATCCTAAGAAGCTACGGGGGCCCTTTTTGACGCTCATCTCGTTTGAACTGGAAGGCTCGCGTGAATCACGCGGGTTAGGGTTTCCAGACCCCTGATTAATGACCCCCCCTCCCCTTAATAGGGATTGTAAAAGGCATCCTAATATTAAGGCCGTTAATGGGAGGAGGTTTACTAGTCATGGGTCTATATTAGGGTTTAGGTGATCCCTACTGGCTGCAGCCAGAGGTCCATGAAGACGTCCACGGGGTCATCACCTCACTCGTCTCAGTCGAGGTTACTACAGTGTGTCTGTGCCAAAATGCGGAAATTTCAGAAATCTTACACAGAGACACTCCAAATAGGTCTGCGGAAAGCAGGTTGCAAAGTCAACTCAACCTGCTGGGAGCAATGAACCTCCTCCGAAAGAGCGAGCGACCAGGCTGAAAAACCTGCCTGAAAGCGCACCCCTTCCGGGCCTCGGAAGGGCGGACGGAGGTCTGTCACAGGAACCATCCTGCACCAAGCACGAGAGCAGCGAGGGAGGGAGATTTAGGGCTTAGGGTTCAGGGCAGGGAGTCAGAGAGGGAGGGAGAGAGAGAGAGAGAGACAGCGACTGAGAACAAGGACAGGAAAAAAGCCACCCATCTGGAGCTCCATTACATGGCCGGGGTCCTGCGGGGACCCAGGGGCCATATGCGGACAATGGAAAGGAAAGTGGAAACTACTGTCTAGGGTGTAGGTATATAAACATTACAGAAGACAGTCCTGCGTAGCTGCTTCCTCATGCCCACTGCGCAGTCGTAGCGTGGCAACCTCACGCTTCTGTTGTCACGGAAACTCTCGTGTCCACCCACATATCAACCATTATATGTAATCCGCAGGCATCTTACTCCCCTCTCAGAAATTTGCGGAAATTTCCACATAGAACTCCAAAAAATTATAATCCTAATCATGGGGCCCCCCAAATGGCACCCCTAATTTTGGGAAGCCCCCTACCCCTATAAACAACTATATAATCACAAGTTCCATTGAATTGTCCATTCGGAGAATTCTCTTTTCCATTTGATTCTCCATCGAATTACTTGGGGTTGCATTTCCCTAAGCCTCAAACCTAGATAGTAGCTTCCATGTTATTTTCCCTTATTCCTATATGATCCTTATAATATAACCCTATATAATCCGAATATAACCCCTCTACATCTAATCTCCTGCAACTGTTCCTACACCGTAAACCCTAAATAGCAGAAGCTACTCTATAGCTTCCCAACACAGGGGGACCCAAATTTTTCCCGTGAGCAGAACTAAGCTCCCGACGAACTCTAGCCAGCAACAGGCCGACAACATGCAAAAATTTCTTCGTGAAACACATCATACACACCCCAAGCACCGTGCAGGGGGACCCAATATAGACCCCAATATACTCTAGTATCTATTATTGGGACCCCCAAAATGGTACCCCTGATTTCTGCATTTAGTGACCTAAACCCCTAAACCCCTAAACCCTGAACCCCGAAACCCTTATACCTGGGAAGTCTACCCTGGCGGGCGTCTGTTGCAATGCCAGGTAGCTCGTCGGATTTCGTGTCTAAGAACTGGCCGGGACCCTGGATGTAGCCCAGCAGCCTTAGGCTTAGCTTAGGGTCTTAGGGTTTAAGGGTTTAGGGTTTAGGGTGTAGGGTTGGATTTAGGGTTTAGGGGCTCTTAGTAGGGAATAGGGGAATATATTAGGTTGGGCCCCCACCCACTAATAGTGACCACAAGAGGTAATGGTAATTGTAGTAAGGTCCTTATATATCCCTAGTATACCACTACTAGCGGCTGGGGGCCCAACCCTAGGAACATATTATAGGGTTTAGGGGTAGGTAAGTAAGTTAGGAATAAGTAACAAGGGAATATGTGAAAGGATTGTATTGGGATTATGATGGGACTATTCCCCGCTAAGGGAAATAGAGGGAACCCTGTAGTGATAATGTGTCATTCTGGCTTCTTCATCAACAACTAGACCAAGGTCTTGAGGGATACGCACGACTACATGAGCACCAAGTGCCAAGCGTTTTTCCATGCGTCCGCGAGTAGTAGAGCACAAGCTCACCATCCTCCCAGCACATATCACAGAACTGTACTCAGGGATTCGGCGCTGCGGGGTCAGTTCCGGGGAGCAAGGAATCCAAAAGTTCACGGTGGACCTTCTCAATTTGACATCTGCCTCATACCCGCAAAGCCTACAGGATATTTCCAAGAGAGCTCAGGGAAATCAGCAAGGAAGGAGTCTATACCCCGTGCCTGGTAGACCTCCTGCCACGCCTGGCAAACACAGCGGGATACAGAGGCTTGGTGTTTTGGCACTTCCCCTTGACTCTGCCCCTTGTGCTGAGAGCTTGGCAGACGAGGGTCCGAGTGTCTCAGGGCTGGGATCCACAGAAACCTGCCCCGTGCGCAGACAGCTGAGCAAGTAGCGAAGCGAACTTTGCCACGCTGGCCTGCACAACGCCAGGGTCTATGTCGTCCTCTGCAGCTTCCCGCAAGTTCCCCTGACAAGCCAGCAGTACGTATACATCTTTGGCGTTGATGCACACATGCGCTGCCACTGACAACATCAAACCTGGACGCATAGAATTTATATTGGGGTTATATTGGGTATATGGGGATAATGGACAAGAAAATGGAAACTACTATATTATCTAGGGTTATATTGGGGTTTTATAAGGCTTGTCAGTCTTCATGCACTAACTGCCAGCCCAAGGATCATCGGCATGCTCCGCAGGCGAGCCAGCTTCCTCATGCTTTGCAGACTTCTATATTGGGATAATGGAAAAGA